CCATCTACACCATTAACCACCACAGTTCAAACAAGCAGACATCATATTCAAGTTGGTCCCTTCCCTTTCGTATCCACTTCCACCTCTTAGCCTTTTCCCTGGCTCACCCTCATCACACACTGTAATTTCCCCTGCATTTAATCAGCCCATGTCCCCAATAGCAAATGCATTTAATCAGTCGTTTATAACTTTTATAAGACATTTGACAATTCAATCAAGTTACATTCTTTCCTTTCTAGAATTGAATAGCTGATTGACACATTTACATATTGTAGTCCTTCAAAAACAAATTATACATTATAGCAACATTTTCAGTTGATATCATTGTACTGATGATAGATTCGCTAATTCATTACTAAAACCTTCAACAGCCTCCAACGAAATCTAAACAACATCTAGCAAAAACTAGAACACAAAAATAAAAGTCGGAATCCTTCAAATGAAGCATAATAATAAATAACCTACTACTTCATGCAACACTAACATATCCTCGAGAAAAACACAACCCGTGCATCGCACGGGCGAAAACTAGTATTTACAAAAGAGATGAGAATAAAATATTTTTTAATGGGGTTATGTTTTAAGGGGAAGTGGAACTAACGGCTAACTAGTAATCCCTAGATACGAAAAAGACAATTTCTATCATATTATAGTTTCATAAGTTGGAACTCTCTAATGTTCGAAGATAGAGTCAATCTATTGGCAACTAAGAAATGAATTATCTAACTTAAATGAAATTTCATATTCAAGAAATTTCTATCATATTATAGTTTCATAACTTAATTGATGCACATTATGGAGAAGAAAATGCATTTTATGATATGATGTGATGGAAAATATGTGATTAAAAAATAAAGAAAAATTTTGTTTTTTACATATAATATTATTTTATTGAAAAATGTGTGATTGAAAATGAGATTTGAAAAAATGAATTTTTTTTAAGAATGTGTATCGAACAGGGACTTATTATAGCTTGTACCAAATTTGGAAAACAAAGAGAAAATGAAGGTTTGGAGATTTGAAGGTAATGTAAAATTAGACATTCGAAAGGTAACAAGATAATAGCGTTGCTCAAATTGGTACCTACCTCGAGGTGCTAGAACAAGACCAAACTACACCACAAAAATTTATTCATTAGCACAAACAACACGATATAATCTAATACGATACAATATGAAAATAAATGTAATAAAAAAAATTAAAAAAAATCTATTAACTATTCTATTTAAAAATTTATAACATAAATTATCATGCTTCCAAGGCACTAATCCCTATTAGTTACGAGCTTCATTATTTGTAAACAATTCAAGACTACAATTTTGAGAGTTCTATGGAACGGTCCTCTTAGCCACGCGCCATATCAAGATAGCTAACTGTATAGATTTCAAGGTGACAAATTTCAGTACTCATGGGCAGTTTCTTCTAGTTGAAGAAAATCTTAGATCTAGTCTTCTTCTTAATAAAAAACAAGATACCTAGACACTTGTATTGCCTCCCTTGAACAATACTGACAAATACTCAAATGTTTGCAGCGATGGATCCTCATGTATTGTTTAGCCATCTGAAGGATCGAAGAGAAAATATATTATAACCGCATATTTTGATTACACGTCTATAGACGTATTACAAGTTTTATTTTTGACTTCCTATTCTTGAAGTGAGAATAATTCTAAGTTTTTTTTAGCCCTCGTTTGATCCTCAATTTTTTCAAAATATATTTTTCTCTCTTCTTTTCAACCACATTTTTCAATAAAATAATATTATACGTAATTCTAAAATTTTTCATTCATTTTTAACCACACATTCTCCAACAATCTATTATTCCAAAATGCATTCTACACCAAAAAAATGGAGTTAATACCTTAAATAGTCATTGAATTTTGCCAAAAGTTCCCAGGAGGTCACCGAACTTCAAAATTTCTCTAAGTAGTCACTAAACTTTACAAAAAGTTCATAGGGGGTCACTGAACTTCAAAACTTCCCTAAATAGTCACTGAACTTTGCCAAAACTTCTCAGGAGGTCACGAACATTGCAAATTGGGACCCCATGCATCAATATTTCAGTGACCCCCCTATGAACTTTTTGCAAAGTTGAGTGACTATTTAGGGAAGTTTTGGCAAAATTCAGTGACTATTTAGAAAATTTTTGAAGTTCAGTGACCCCCTATGAACGTTTTGCAAAGTTGACTGACTATTTAGGGAAGTTTTGAAATTTGGTTACCTCCTGGAACTTTTGACAAAGTTCAGTGACTATTTAGGGTATTAACCCCCAAAAAATGAGACTCATACATGCACTTAATAACTATTCTACTGCGATTTGCAATGGAAATTGTGTTTCGATATTAATCCAATTCTGGGTTATAATTATGCTTTATTCTAATATCACGTCTTAAATATCCCAAAGTTCTACATGTGCATCTTTTAAATATGTTTAATACATTGAATTGCAGTGTCTTAAACATAATTAGGTAAGAAAATTAAGTTTAAATTTTGATATACTATAGTGGTTTTGTTCAATTGGTTATTTCACACAGGTCAAACATTATTCTTAACAAATTTTTTATTTTACTCCCTTTTCATACTATATCTAACGTAAAAAAAAAAAAAAATGAAGAAGAATACATTCCAATGGAATTTTAAAAAATGAAGAAGAATACATTCCAACGGAATCTTTGAAATTCATTAAAGATACTAGTGAATTGAACGTGCGTTGCACGTTAGTTAGATAATATTTATTAAAAATAAGTGTGTAAATATGAGAGAAAATCATTTTTATACGTAAAAGTTACTCATAAGTTGGTTGGAATTGATTTACTTTTCATCTATTTTCCTTTTTATATTTTTAATTCTTGATACAAACATTTGGTATTCACTGTATTTAATTTCTTGTTATAGCTATTTATTTATTGGAGTTCTATACAATCGTAGAAGTCTTAAGGCAAGAATAAACATAATTATCCATTAACCAGCATTCTCTTGATCTCGAGCCACGCCAAACTTTGAGAACTTCAAGATAAACTTTGTTGTGTAACAGGAGTCCAAGACTAAGACGAGATGTGATTCCAACAAATGCAACAAGGGCAAAAGATATCATAAGATTAACCCACCACTCATATCCACAACAGAGTGTTTTCATCTTTCATTATAATGCTAAATGAATTAGGTATGGAGAAAAATTACGATATGTATTGTCAACTTAATTTTTAAAACAATTGTAATCAATAATTCGTAGTTATCAACATAAACAAAACTATAAACATCAATCCAAATAATTTTGATCCTACCAAGGACTGGAGACACAAAGGATTGAAGATCGCCTAAGTATTACATTGTTTTAATGTTCCTATCTATAAGAGGTGAAGGAGATGGGAAGAGGAAAACGAAACAGAATATCAAATCAAATAATGTGGAAGGCTAATTCAATATTAAGCATTTCCGATAATGAATTAGAACTTACGTCATTAAGGAACTCGTACCCGTAATGCTGAACTCTTATTTTGGCAAGATGTTGCAATGGTTGACTATCCACCGTTGCAAGTAATTCCTACAAGGAATACATAATGTAACAGAGTAAATATGTGGGTGAATGAGAAGAACAAACTGGATATGAGCCCATTTATTACACCAAAGATTGTCCTTAACCTCCTCTTCTTTAACAATTACAAAGTCATCACTCGTGCACTAAGTAAACACCAGGAATGTTTAAATATGAAGCTAATGTTGATACTGCAATAGTGATATTGACCTTAAGCTAAAAAGAAATACAATTCATCAATAAAATATACAAACAACTACTAAAAGGAATAGGAAATTTTTAAAATCCATAAAAGAATAGCATCAAAATATACAAACTTTGAGTTCAACTATTAACTATGCTGACCCATAAATGGTTTAAATCATTTAATGCTAAATTACTCCAAATCCAAGGAGAGAAAATGGAGTCATAAGAATCAAAACTTACATTGAACTTAACGGAATGTTCGCCATTATCCGAGAATCACATATTTAATTCAAAAGGATGAATAGTTGAGGCAGAAAGTGAACTCATCACATTACAGATGTATATTCTAATGTAAATCATATATTGATCTAATAAAGCTTAATTGATCCACCGATCTCCCAGTAAATAAAACTTATATTGTATAGGTATTTAGTAAGACAATAGGTAAGTGATCCATGTGTTCATAGTTATACCAATTGCCTCCTGAATTCTTGTAGACATTGCGGATGGTTGAGCTCATTAAAGAACCATATCAAACCTATCCAAATTTACAATAACATATACATATAAAATATGTAAAATCACAAGTAGTACAAAGTTACACCTTGCCTAGTGATTGTACAGAGTAGCGAATGTGCAATGAATGGCCTCCAAGATCAGAACAACAGCGTCCATCTAATTTCTTCAATGCTGCACGTGCGTTACTTTCCTCATGATAGGAGACAATAACATGAGTTCCACTCTCATCTGCTGTAAATACTCCGTTAACTTTGCCATATGCACCAAACATGGACATGATAATGTCAAATAAATGTCTAACTGGAACAGCAAACATTTTAATCATTCAAGATTTTTCTTAATCAATGAGCCATTTTTATCAAATAACAAACACGACCCAGATACAATCAACAAAATGAAAACCACGACGCAACAACTTATCATTAGAAAGTCATTCTTTCTTCCTTCACTACTACAAGAATCCCATTCGTTCTTCTCATCAAGTTCTCTATCCAGCTATGAAGCCACATGTACACACAGGATCAAAGATCCAATCAAAATCTCAATATAAAATATAACTTAAAGGCTCCAAAAAGCATATAATTAAAAAAATAAAACCATCCTACACAAGATCCGACCAATTTAATTAACACTAAGCCTTCAAAAAGCAGACCTTACATTTTCGTTAAATAAATCCCAAAAATAGCACAATAGTAAATGATAAAACATAAATTTATAACCTTATTTAAATAACAAGTCCTCACCCAAAAAATGAGTGAAATAATCAACCACGATAAAAATACAGAAAAGAAACATTTTTACTTCAACTTAGCCCTTGTTTGGTACACATTCTTTCAAACCTCATTTTCAACTCACTTGTCGTCTATATTTTTTGTATCTTT